ACAGAAATAATAAATCAGAATAATGGCGTTATTGAAGATAATATCAGGGATGAGATGATATTATATGAGGATTCCAATGAATGGGTAGAAAGAGGATATATTATACGGAAATCAATTCCCGTTTTATTGGCATATCTATTATTATTTTCATTACAGTTGATTAGTGTAATATCACTAGGTCACTTGGTAACGTATTGCATTTAAAATTATAAGCCAAATAAAGAGTTACTTTTAGTAAAAAAAATTGAAAATGAAATTAAAAATTTAATTAGGGTTCAACAGAGCTGGCCGCTTCAACACTGGCTTCAATGGTAATAATCATATTTACAGTATAGATCTGATTGATTTGTTAATTAGTGGGTTAAATGGTCACTGGTTAAGTTGGTGTGGTCATATTATCAAATGGCATTTTGATTATATAAATAGTTTAGTACTAGGGTTGTGAAAGCTTATGTTGTAAATTACGCGATCCTTATGCTAATTACAAAATGCTAAAGCAAGGTTGAAAGTTAACTTTGGCTAGTATTAAAGCAAATAGCTACATATAGATTAATATAAGATATTAAAACAAGAATTTCAAGCCATTTCAGGCGTTACTATGTAACGTAACCTATGTAGTTAACAATTCTATTTAATATAGCTCATACAGAAAGAATTTTCACAGGACAATTCTGGATCGAAATAGTCTGGTAGGCTGGTCTGCATTAACAATTTTGTACAAAGCAAAATGCTACATTGAAATATCATAAATCTAACACGGAATTTTTGGAAAATGTCCTATATAAATCTGCCATATTCACCACAAAGACGCTTCAGGGAAACAATTTGACATATATGAATTGAGAGTTTAAATCAAAAAATGGTTTACATGAATTTTATAATGCAAAATATATTATATATATATATATATATAAATTATATATGCAGTATATATTTTTATTCTCAACAATTTTTGCAAACTATTTATTGCCTGACTAATGATATTTTTAAACGATTAGGTTTCTTTTATAACATATGTATCAGTTATGTATGGTGCTGCGACAGCTCTTGATACTCTATGTTCGCAAGCTTATACATCTGGTAACATGAAAATGGTTGGGGTATATTTACAACGTGCCATTATCATAAATTTGTTAGGATTTATCCCGATCGCTTGTATTTGGTGGGAATCAGAAAAGATCTTAATCTTTTTTCGTCAACCTCCCGAAATTTCTGCACAAGCTGCTTTATTTCTTAGATATTTATTGATTGGAGCACCTGCATATTTGATGTTTGTAAATTTGGAGAGATATTTACTAGCTCAAGGTAACGTTAAATCACATATTATTAATTAATTAATTAGTTAGCATCTGATATGAATGAATTAACACACGTAATTAATACGTAGGGATAATGAATGCCATTACATATGTATTAATAATATGTTGTATAATTGACGCATTCTTGAATTTCATGTTAGTTTGGTATAAACCACTATCCCTTGGTTTTATTGGGGCACCTATTTCCACAGCTATTACCTATTGGTTTATGTTTTTCTTTCTTGTCATTTATACTAAATTCATTAATGGATATCAAGCCTGGGGTGGATGGTCACGTGCTGCATTTCATGGTTGGAAACCTATCCTTACATTAATGATTCCTGGTATCTTTATGGTCTGTGCGGAGTGGTGGGCAATTGAACTTATATCTTTTCTTGCTGGATATCTTGGTGAGCTTTCACTTGCATCCCAGGGTATAATATCTACTACAATTACTATTTTATATCAATTACCATATGGAGTCTCCATAGCAGCATCAAATCGTGTTGGAAATTTATTGGGTGCTGGTTTAGTAGAAAGGGCCAAAATGGCTTCAAAACTTTCTATGCAAATCGCTATTATTGTTGGTTTATTTAATGCAGCCATCTTGATAGGTTTCAAGGATATTTTGGGGTTAAGTTGCAATCAAATTATATAATTTAGTTTAATTACTTTACATTCACTTATTTAATTTTATTCGTAAATTATATCTATTATAGATACATATTCACTTTTGATGATGATGTAGTCATATATACTTCTTATGTCTTACCATTGGTTGGCATTTTTGCGGTACCTATTTATTAAATTATATTTACTTAACTATCAACGAATATATACATTATCAGCTGATATTAATAAGTTTATTTTTTTACGCTTTACAAAAAGATAACTGATAGTATGAACGCAAACGGATATGGTATTCTTCGTGGGCAAGGCCGCCAATATATTGCCGCAATTTTTAACACCCCTGGATACTTCTTTGTAGGAACACCTATTAGTATACTTGCAGCTTTTAGTTTAGGATATGGATTACAAGGTCTTTGGTTCGGAGTGATGACATGTTCATTTATGGTTTGTATTATAATTATTATTATTATTTGTAGAACTGATTGGCAACGACAATTGGAGGATTGTAAAAGGCGAATGAAAGAAGACAGAGATAAAATTGAATCTATGATTAGCAATGACCCTGATTTTTAATGGTAGCTTAATTCCGAATTTTAATATATGCGATTAGTATTAGCACTAGCAATATTAGTATTTCCATATCAATATGTCTATTTCAAGATTTACAATCCCTTTTTTTAATTGATCCGATAATAGATAAAATTTGACTAGGTTTTAGTATTAAAATTCAAAAGAATAATGCATTTATCTTTTCTATTATTTATAAATCGTAAATACAATTGCCCAATAAAAATACAGGGATGATCGATCACATGAAATTAAACAATTGGTCATATCCGTACACGTGATAATTGGCCAATCAATTTTTATAAAATTACAATAACGTTCGAAAATTACTAAATCAAAGATATCTCACGTTCCAGCAGTCAGAATTTGACAAAACTAATACCATTCGATTAGTCTCATTGAGTCGAATCGAATGATATAAGTTTTGCCAAATCCTACCCACTAGAATATGAGATATTAACGAAATTACAATCCCTTATTTGCTTATACATTTCTTATTTTTAAATGCGTGTAAATTATTTCTACTAATCTATTCAATAAATATACTTTGTTAAATCGTTTCTAAATCGTTCCTATTTTGTATTTTAAAATTGTACTAGTTAAAATAATTAAAATTTAACATATAAAATAACAAGTTCATTTGTAATATGTATAACTTTAGATTTAAAGCATATAAAAACAAGTTATCTTTTTTACACTGCTTTTCATATAAACACTATTCGAACTTGTTTTGGCATCGTTTGTCTTTGGTTTTGACACTAAAATGCCTTCGTGTACTCGAATTACGGGCTTAACTATCTTTGACCTCTTATAAACTTCGTCTCTAATAAAACTTTTTAAATATTGGGATTATTTGGGATTCATTTTAATATAAGACGGGGCAGGCAAAGAACTTTCGCTAATTTTTTTTTTTTGAAGTGAACTTAATTGGCAAGTATCGAAAAATCACGAGAATACAAAGCACTTTAAACTGTATAAAAAATCAAAAAATTTTTTTATTAAATTGACTAAGCCACAATGTCGATCATCCAAATTCGGGTTTCTTTTATATCGTATGATTAAATAATTGAACGGCTATTAGTCATATAAACCGATCGGCTAACCGGCTAAGAATCGATAACCGATCGTAGTCAACCGTAGTCATCCCTACGGTTAACAACTAAGGAACCTTTAGCTTGTACGTCTATAATAAACATTTTAAAAACGCCTAGCTTATTTGAAATAATTACTGTATAGCCTGTAATATCTAACTTTGCCTGAAGTAATAGTAGCTGAATCTAATATATTATCCAACTTATCTGAAGCGCATAAAATAGTGTATCGATATACATTGTCAATGCCATCAAGACTTATCAAATCGGCTAAACATTCAATCGGTCAATTTTTTACTAGGTGACCCAAATTTATGAGAACAGCCGTAATTGCTATTTACGGGTGCGTATCCCATCTCAGTTTAATTCTATATAAAGCACAACTAATGTAAACCGGATCATTCCAACCTGAACATGCGTGAAATACTTTTCAATCTTTTTTATAACGAAATTACCAATTAATAAATAAAAGAATCGACAAATGAACAAATCTTTCGTCATGTTCTGAATGATGGATAACAAATCTACGATGATTGATGAAGCATGAGAAGATTAACTTCATGTGAGCTTGTTTATAAGTTATTTATATGAAGACTTTTTAAAAAAAGGCCATTATCAATTTAAAATCAAACAGATAATGAATGACTTTATTCTGGATAAATTGATTTAATATTGAATAGAGATGCTGCTGAAATTAATTTTACCGATTCAACACCAATTTCAAAATAGTGGTGAACTATTTCACCACTCTAAATTTATTTCACTAGTATCTTTAATATCGATGTCTCAAAGGTCGTTATACTGTAAAGAAGCCACCTGAATTTGATATTTCAATGGTCTGCTAAATAAATTCGTCAAGAACATTTGAATTAGTAAAGATTGGTTATAAATTATATTTATTTTATTTTTTTCAGCGTCTTTATCACTAATATTCTTTATAATACCAAAAAGCCAAACTAACCCTTGTTTCTTCGACCCGTGATAAATTTTTTTTTTTAAATAGAAAAATTGAAAGTAATAAGATAAATAAAGAATCTATTTTCGTAAACTTAAATATTCAACATTAACGAGAATCTAATTTATTGGAGTGCAGCAGGCAATGCTAAATCCAAAAGTTAAATATTATACATTACTACAGTAACGATTCAACTATTACACTTATAATGAAATTAATTTATCCTACTTCAACGAATTCTGTATTTCTTCGGATAATCTAATTTCTATCTAGCTATTGTGGCACAATTGGTACACATTTTCCGGTATTTTGAATTAAAACCGATTTGCCGCAATTTCTTACAATGTCGTAATTAAAACTAGAGTAGCAAGTGCAAATAACTTCGCTACCCAGTATTCGTTGATAATTGGTAAGATACAATAAAAATCGGTAATTAGGAAATGTTATTTTAATTAGGTTACTAAACTATTGGGTCGAGAAAGATTAAATAATCATATAGTTCAGTAAGCAAAAATTATAAAATACATACTCTTTAAATCATGTTTAAGTGGCAATTATTGCAAGTGTGAAACCTTTTGTATTACTTTTTACTTAATCCTGTAAATATTTTATGTCTATATCATGTACAAATAAAAAATTTGAATTGCTTTAAAATTTAATAATTACATTCATATTCGGGAAAAACTTTGACTTATATGTTTCAAAAAGGTGTACATTACATTACACCACGTGAAAGGTTGTTTGCATATTGATGAAAGCTTTTAGGCTATGTTACTGTTTACTATTATTATTACCATAGTCACAAACTGGTTTTCTTGAATTATTAACAATATGATAAGTTCGAAATGTCTTTAGCGTTAGGTGCTTAGTTCTCAACAATGGCTTTTGTATGGCTTATACAAATAATAATGATAATAAAGAATAAAAATAATAATAATAAAATATACATATGTTGTATTCCAGTTTGGAATTGTCCCAATTCAGAATTAGGACAGCTCAAGATGAGAATTTTGTAACTTTGGCTAACATAATGCTAACTAAAAACCAAAAAATTTTATTCTACCCTAATTCTAACTCTAGCGCTAACTTTGAAGTTCTAATTCTGTCAAAATAATTTGTAAAATCCCATCCGGGCAGCCCAATTTTGAGTCGGGTCAATTCCAATTTAGAGTACTATTTATATTTATTTAATAAATATATATATTATTAATATATATATATATTTATAGTAAAAAGTTCTGGCTTATTCGAATCTCAAATTTTATTAATCACTTAAAGTATGTCAACTACATCAGAAGATAATTTAACAGAAATAATAAATCAGAAAAATGGTGTTATTGAAGATAATATCAGAGATGAGATGATATTATATGAGGATTCCAATGAATGGGCAGAAAGAGGATATATTATCCGGAAATCAATTCCCGTTTTATTGGCATATCTATTATTATATGCATTACAAGTGATTAGTGTAATATCACTAGGTCACTTGGTAACGTATCGAATTTGAAATTATAAACCAAATAGTTTCTTTTAGTAAAATAATTGAAAAAGTAAATTAAAATTAATAAATTTAATTAGGGTCCAGCAGAGATGGCCGCCTCAACACTGGCTTCAATGGTAATAATCATATTTACAGTATAGATCTGATTGGTTGGTTAAATCAGTGGGTCAAATGGCTTGGTTAAGTCGGTGAGGTCGTAATAACAAATGGCATATTTGTTAAATAGTTTAGTACTAGGGTTTGTTAAAGCTTAAATTGTAAGTAACATGATCCTCATATTAATTACAAATACAAAATGCTAAAGCAGACTTTAAAGTTAATTTTGGCTAGTATTAAAGCAATCAGCTACACATAAATTACAAATATAGATGTTAAAACAAGACTTTAAGCTATTTCAGGCGTCACATTGTAGGGTAATACGTAGTTTAATAACTTATTTAATATAGCTCATAAAGAAAGAAATTTTCACAGGGCAATTCTGGGTCGAAATACTCTGGTTAGATAGTCTGGAATTAATAAATTTTGTGCAAAAAAAAAAAAGCATACCCCATGAGAACAATAGAAGTTGCTTATTATAGTACCACAACTCTTACATGGAAATTTGATAGAAGCCCTATATAAAATCTGTTGTACTCACTACAAAGACGCCTCAGGGAACCCATTTGACATATTGAGAGTTTAAATATATGGGATTGAGTCAAAAGAAATCAGGCAAATATTTTTTAATAAGTTTTTTTTTTTAAATTTTAAACAACAATAACTTAACAAAAAACTTGATCAAATTCAATAATATTTTTTTAAAATTAATTCTACAAGTTTGTAAAAATTATTTAAAAAAAAATTTAGTCAAGTTTTTGTCAAGTTATTCTTGTTTAAAGTTATAAAAAATTTTTATTATAAAAAATTTGCTTGATTTCTATTGACT